ATTGCTGCTATATTAAAGAAGCAGCAGCAGACAGCCTTGGATCAGAAAAGATGAATCATACATTACTGAGTGAGGAGGTGGGGAAAAGAAATGGGAAAAAAAATGATCAAGGAACTAAAATCACTAAAACTAATGTTACAAAACAGTGGGAGAATTCATTCAATGGAATGAATATTAGGCTATATCTTTAAAGTAATAATGGTTATTAATTTTAAACTAGAAACTTTAAAGTTAATTGCCCACATTATTGTCTCATTTTTGCACTTTTTCTCATTGATAGCATCACTAATGCATTCATTAAACACATACCACACCCACACAAAGAGGCTGCCCAGGCTGTCACGGCATAGGTATAATGGTCCGTATAATTAGGGCAAACACAGACGAAAGCTGTGAAGGTCAGAATTTAGGAGAGCAAACTGTCATCTGGTTTGGGAACTCTGGGAGGAGTCTGGTTGAGAAACTGACTTGGTTGTGTTTATAGACAGCCCTGAAGGGTTAAAACAGATAAGCAAGCAAACAAAAAACAAAAACAGAATTTGAATTGATATAGATCTGGTTTTAAGTTCTAGTTCTGCCTTTTCACAGATTTGTGATCCTTGGCAAGTAACTAGTCATCTATGAGGCTCAGTTTCATTTTTTCTCTGTGCCAAGGTGTGATGATTAAATGAGATGGGGTACAAAGCACTTGAAAAATATAAAGTGCTTCATCCGTAATGATTTCTTATTTTTTTGTTCTCCTAAGACTGGCACTGAAGAGGTGCTTAGTAAATATTTCTGGCATTATGTTGAAGATATAACTCTTGAAATGAGTATGAGGTTATACTTAACAAATGTACAACAATAACAATAACAACAATAGCAGCAATACAAAATATAAAGCTTGCTGCATGAAAGAGATCAACAACTGTTGGCTTTTATTTGCCCCCATCCATAAAATAATGAGGTTGCACTAGATGGCCTTCCAGGTTTAGCTTTTAAAATTCTCCAATTTAATAGATTCTGATTCTCTTCATAAGAAAGTGTAGCTGTGAGTGTACTTTTATATAGAAAAATACCCAGTTTCAATAGAGCACTCTATCTGGCTGTACATCAAAGGGGGACTCCAAATCCTTCACAAAAACTGATTTTCTGTCAAAAAAGAAAAAAAAAACCAACAAAACCCGCCTTCCCTTATTTTTCTTGTGAAAGCAAGGAATCAGGAAAAGTTGAGAGAAAATGAACAGGTAGCGAACTCTGAGGACATTGAAACAGAAGTAGAAAGAAGATTGAGTGATAATTACAATAATGGATGGACCCTAAGAAGAAAATGTTATCGAAATCACATTTGAAGGCAGAAAGAAAGTGCCTAGATGTGAATGAATGACTGAAAATAAGAGGGCAATAGATTACAGCATGGTAGAGGAGAGGAAGAAATGGTCAAAGGCAGGCAGAAAAGCCAGAAAAAATATGAGCTGAGTTTTCTGACAAAAAGAAAAATTTTAAAAAAAGAAAGGAAAGAATGAAGGGCCAGTTGACAATAGGTAAATATTTTTCTACCTTGACTTACATGTGTTGAATGAGGTTCTAGTTATTCTTAATGTGGTTTTCCTATGAGATTTAGTTACCGATTGCTTGTAGCTTTGACTCAGGTGGTGCAAAGGCAATATATGTAAACAATCTATTTGTATCCGCATAATATTCTGAAATAAATAATGAAAAAAATGAATGAATGGATAAACAAATACATAAATACATGAACTGAGAATTTTTAAAAAGCAATAAGGATGATACTGTAAAAATTAAATAAATATATACAGTCACATGGTGTTGAGTGCCTTAGAGAAACTGAAGCAGCCAAGGGAATAAAGTGTGCCTGAGTGGATGAAGTGGTGGAATATTAAGTAGGTTGATCAAGAAAAGCCTCATTAAGATGGTGACACTTGAGCAAAGAGCCAAAAGAACTAAGGGAGAAAGCTCTGAGGCCACCTGGGGAAGGGCAGGAGTAAACACCAGAGCCCAGAGCAGGTTGATCATCCAGGAAGTCATTGTAGCTGGAGCAGAGCGAGCTGGATGTAGAAGACTCAGTGTGGTCAGACAGGAACAAGTGGATGGACCCCTTAGAGCCATTGAAAAGACTTAAGCTTTTACTCTAAGCAAAACAGAAATGTAATAGGTGAGTCTGAAGAGAGAAGTGAGTGGTTGTTTGTTTTAGTTTTTTTTTAAATTTTTGTATATATCATTTTAGTACCTTTTTAGTTTTTGGCTTATTTTACCAACCTTGAAAAGTTAAGTGAGTTTGGTTTCTCTCGTTTTGCTTGAGGTATTTCACAGAGCCTTTTTTGTTAACTCCTGCTCCTCAGAGTTAATTTTCTAATGCATGTATTTGTTCATTAATTTAACAACTATGCACTGAAAACCTACTAAATCCCTGGTGCTTTTTTAGGTACTAAATAAGAAAACATGGTCTTCATTCTTTTCCTTTTGTTATTAGTCTAATCTGTTTCTTGACTTTCTTTTTCCTCATTTTTCTTCTTTCTTATGACTTAGAGCAGCATCTGAAAATTCCTTGAACATAGTGATCATTATGTAAATTTTCTTGGTTTTAAGAATAGATCAGTTTGGAATATTTCTACCCTATTGTGTAGTTGAGTAGCAGTGATAGAGCTGTAGTTGACCTTGGGGATGCACGAACAACTCAGGTTGAGTGAAAGCTCTAGGACATGAATAACTGGCACCTCTACTCCTTTCCACACTCAGAGGATACACTCTTGGTGTGCCAAAGGGCAAACAAAATGCCCTAGACCATTATTTCTCTAAAAATACACAGTCTATAGGAAGATACTAAATTTTAAAAATTTGAAGAATGAAGAGATGAGAATTTTTATAGGTGAAACTATCACTTTCAGGCAAAAAATTAAAAATCACATAATAATAGAAAAACATTTGGATTAAGCAGATGAACGATAGTTAACAAGTGACCATTAATTGATGTTCTCCTCTTTGTCTGATCTCTTCCTTTCTGTTTCACTTTTCCTATACTTATTTGCTTCTCTTCCTCCCTACTTTCTCTCTCATGCTTAGGCCATTGGTTGTCGAGAATACTGAGTGGCTTCTATAAGTTGGTGTTGGGACAGCTGCTGCCACCCAGGCCTTGAGCAGAGGATGTGTGATGCTCTCCTCCAGAGAAGGCCACAATTAGTCCAAGGGCCAGACCAATAATCAAGGCATAAAGATGGCCTGATGTTATATACAGATTTTTTTTCTAAATCTGAAAAGAAATGAGGCCTCCAAAATCTCACAAAACAAGAAGTCAAACTCTTGGAACAAAAATTTGACCTTATACATACTTTAACAGTGTTGTGAAAATTGCAGACAGTAATCCATCCTACACACAGCGGCCAAATTAATCTTCTTAAAGTACACCTTTTGTATTATCACTCCAGGCTCCCACCAAGAATGATGAGTTCTGTCCTGGGCATCACACATTAAGAAGAATCTAGTGACTGGATTAAAAACAAACTGGAGTGAATTCTGGAGAGAGAGCCCTGCAAGGCGATAAAAAGTCTTATCATGCAAAGGACAAGGGACAAATCTGTAACTCAGGGGATGCAGGTAATTTAAAGAAATTATTTTCCCACCAAGCTTAAAGGAATAACATCTTACTATTAAAGTCATATCTTATAAAGAAAATTCCCCAGTAAAAAGTAGCAAACTATTTGGGTAAAATGTGATTTAACTTTTATCATTTAACATATGCTTTGGATTTAAATTTGTTTTTCAGACAACCACAAGCGTGATATTTGTACATTTTCCCAAGTGGTATAAAATTTTAATGTGGCAGCAGTGCTATCCTAAGAAAGCTACTTATCTACTCCTTAACAGAGTTTGTCTTCTAAAATTCCAAACCAAACAAATACAGCAGTCTTTAATGAGTGTTTTTTTTTTCTAAAAGCCATCATTTTTCCACAGTGCTTTAATTTGTCCCCTAACAAAAAATCTTCACTGACTCCTTAGTTGTACCAATTGTACTTTTCCTTCCGTCACACCTATATTCATGCCTTCTGTTTTTTATTAGCTGTTTTGACGTAAGTCAGAAAGTGAACCAATTTCCTGGTCATGACTTCATAAAAATAGGCCCTTCCCCCAGAAAGTGTGCACCACACACGCCTATTAGGTGTGAATTTACCCATCACCTCCTCCCCCCACCTGCCTGACACCAGAAGAATGTTACTTCCATATGTGCACAATTCGTGCCAATTTAATGGTGAGTACATGTGGTGCTTGTTTTTCAATTCTTGTGATACTTCACTTTGAAGAATGGGCTCCAGCTCCACCCAGGATAACACAAAAGATATTACTTCACCATTGTTTTTTATGGCTGAGTAGTACTCCATGAAATACATGTACCACATTTTATTAATCCAATCATGTATTGAGGGGCATTTGGGTTGTTTCCACATCTTTGCAATTGTGAATTGTGCTGCTATAAACATTCGAGTGCAGATGTCTTTTTTATAGAATGTCTTTTGTTCTTTTGGGTAGATGCCCAGTAGTAGGATTGCTGGATCAAATGGTAGTTCTACTTGTAGCTCTTTGAGGTATCTCCATATTACTTTCCATAGAAGTTGTACTAGTTTGCAGTCCTACCAGCAGTGTATAGGTGTTCCTATCTCTCTGCATCCACACCAACTTGTATTGTTTTGGGCCTTTTTGATAAAGGCCATTTTCACTGGAGATAAATGATATCTCATTGTGGGTTTGATTTGCATTTCCATGATGATTAGAGATGTTGAACATTTTTTCATATTTTTCTTGGCCATTTGTCTGTCTTCTTTTGAGAAATTTCTATTCATGTCCTTGCCCACTTTTTGGCAGAGTTGTTTGTTTTTTTCTTGCTGATTTTATGTTGTTTTTGTGTCCTGCTCTAGTCCCTCAGGAGGAGCACTCAACTGTCCCAGGTGGTGGGTGGGGCCCTGGAACTTCCAGGGGAATCCTTATTCTCTGCCATAGTTTAGGCAGTTGGGGGAGTGTGGTTGTGTGGGTTGGGTTGGATGGGCCTGCCCTCAGGCTCCATAAAAGCTGGTAAGGTAGCTGTCTTAGTGGGGGTCAAAGGTCTGCTCCCAGCTTCTGGGTAAAGCCGCCAGGGATGGGCTGAAGGGGCCCCAGCCAGCCAGCAAGTGTGCTGGCGGAGACAGGGCTTTCTAAGATTCACAATCTGGCTGCCCAGCTCTCATACCTACCCCACTGTGCGTGTCTGACCTGCTAGGTGTGTCTCTGCGAAATGCCCATGGGCAGGGAGCTTCCAAATTGGGCACCCTAGTTCTACTACAAGTCCACAAAGGAAGAGGACTGGGCCCCACTCTCTGTGGAAGTCTCAGCCTGGAGTACATGCTAGCTGGAGAGAGGGAGTTGCTTGCCAAATTCCCAGCACAATCTGCTTTCCAAGTTGGAGTGGGTGGGGGAGAGGCTGTTGCTCCTTGTCAGCCTGCGTGCCTGAATGAGCCATGCCTGCTTGCTGTGCCTCCCAGGGCTGCGTTCTTCCTTGCCATAGATGCCACTCTACTCAAACACGGTGGTTTTCCTGCAGGGAGGATGGGCTCTCTCTCTCAGCTCGCTGCTTCTTTTTTTTTTTTAATTTTAATTATTTTTTTTATTTTGGCATATTATGGGGGTATAGATTTTAAGGTTTCAATAAATGCCCATTTCCCCCCCTCCCCCCAAAAGTCTGAGTCTCCATCATGACCATCCCCCAGATGGTGCACATCTCACTCACTATGTATGTATATACCCGCCCCCCTCCCCCCTCCCACCTGCCCAATACCCTATTACTGTAGCACCTATGTGTCCACTTAGGTGCTACTCAGTTAATACCAGTTTGCTGGAGAATATATCTGGTTCAGCTCGCTGCTTCTTAGATCACCACAATATTCTCCTGTCAGATCTGTCCACATGGGTTTCCTCACCACCTGGGTCCAACTCCCAGACCTAACCCCTGTGTTCCTAGCAACTAACTCAAATACAGAGGGTTCAGTCTACCTGTCTGACCTGCTAGCGTGTGACTCCGTGAAATGCCGTTGGGAAGGGAGCTCCTGAATCCAGCACCCCGATCCACTGCAGGCACTCAAAGGGAATACTGGGTCTCACTTTCCATGGAAGCCCCAGCCTGTAGCACACGCACACTGTGGCGGCTGCTCAACAAACTCTGTGTCCAAACTCCTTTCCTGGTTGCAGTGGGGGGCGGGGAAGGACGCCTCCCAGTGGAAGAAAGGCGGCCCTCCGGCCTCTGGTGGCACTTCTCCGAGCCGAGTGCCACACCGAGTGTCCAAGCTCTGGGATCATGCAAATTTTCTCCCCTCTATACCGTGTTTGCCGCTGTGCCTGGGCTCGTGGGCGTGGAAAAGCCTCCAAGAAACCAGGTAGTCCGCTGCCACGGAATGCTTGTGGGAGGGAGAGAGGGAGCTCCCTTACCCTTTCACTAGGCTATGAGCCTCTCTGGGTTTGGTTCTCACTGATACCTTTTTTCCTTTATCTTCTTCCTTCTCTGCTGTGCAGTTTTCCTCTGTGAGATCCCCAGCAGGCTCCTGCACCTCTGTCTAGGATCTACACCTGCTCTGTGCCATGGCTTCTCCTCTCTCCTTTATCAGAAACCCTGCATTCCCTCTGGGATGGTCTACGGGCAATGCCTCTAGCTGGCTGTCTTGTCCTGTCTCGCCCTTGGTTCCCTATGTGAATGTTTATAAGAATGAATGAAAACAAATTATTTTTGCTATAGATTCAAATATTATCCAAGGAGCAAGAAAACACAATCATTCATGTAGAGTTGTAGACACTATCACTTTCTTTTGAAGAAAATCAAATGTGGAAGTTTATCTATTGGTAAGCATGGTTTGCTCTGGTCTCTGAAATAAGCCATAAAATTTTATAAGTTATAAAAAATAATAACCTCCAGGAGGCCAGTGGAGACTTTTGTTTTGAGAATGAAAAGAAAAAAAATAATTGAATGAAAAACTAATTCCATGCCTTTTAGATTAGATTTGGGATTGCAAAAATGATGTTATTTTATATACTATTAATGCTATTTTTATATGGAGAAGTGAACAAAACAGTTCTGTATATTGGCTTCAATAGAAAGTATACAAGATTGTGACTATAATGTAATGAGAATTTTATTATTATCTGACTTATGCAATTGATATTTTCTATTCATACTTTTATATTTGCTTGCTCTCACAAGTATCTATGCTGTAAAAAAAACTTTGACAAGAGACCACATCTTATATTTCATTTTTTCATCATAGTTTCTTATATAATTCACTGTCTTGATAATTTAAGTAATGAAAAAATATATGATTTATTTTCAACCTTGTGATCAGTTATATACAATTTTGTATGAATACAATTAGTTTTACATATAATATATGTGAATTTTTTTCTTTTTGGTGCATGGGATTTTCAAGAATTGAACTTCCAAAGCTCCTAAACCCTTTTTAAAAAGTAGCTTCCTTTAAGGAACAGGGTGAAAGCCAATTATAGAGATCTGTGGAAAGCAGATCAGACTGCAGAGGTAAAGGTGTGCTATCTAACTTGTTCATCAATGAACAAATAGAGTGAGCAGCTCATCCTGATTTGCTTAGACTTTGTTGGTTTTAGCACTGAAAGTCTTGAATACTGGGAACCCTCTCAGTCCATTTAATCAATTTGCAAAATTTCAGTGGATCAGGCTATATCTAATGTATGTCTATGTCATTATCTGTAAATGAATCTGCATCTGTATCCATATATCAGGTACATGATGTAGGTATATACTATGATTCAGGCAGAAGGAAAAACAAAAAAGTAGCATTTTATGCTTGCATGTATTGATATAGTAGTATATGTGTCCAATATCTACCAGTTCAGTTGTGTTAATGATAGTATTAATTTTATAGCAATTGTCATAACTAGTCCATTCCAGGCTTCTTTCATTTCACTCATATCATCTTTTCACCTTCCTTCTTTATTTTCACCTTCTACTCTAATAATATGTTCCATATATGTTCTCAAATATTTTTGAATTCTTATAAACAATGTTGGCTGTGGACATATGGGTTTTAATTTACACAAATATTATGGTACTGCCAGTTTTATTCTATTTGTTAACTTTATTTTTGTTTTTAAGATTTTGTTTTTAAAATTTAAGGTTTCAAATTGCTGAATGATCTTCCATAACATTCATCCACTATAGTTTAGTGTTTATGTCTTTGAACTGATGAATACTTAATTTGTGTCCAACTCCTTGCTACCACAAACAATGCAGCACTGAACATCTTTGGACTTCTGTAAGGATTTATCTGGATTTCATACCTTAGAATGAGAGTGCTGCATGCCAGGGCATAGGCATCTTTAATTTCAATATGCTCTGTCACATTGCCTTCCAGAAAGAGTGAACATGTTTATACTTTCATTTGTATTAAACAAGACTTCCCATCTCCCTATTTGGGTTTCAAAGCTTGGCATTATCTACCTTTCTAAATGAGCAGTTTGTGTTTGATGCTCATATTTTAGCAAATTATATTAACACACATTATTCTTTAGTTTTTACATTCTTCTTTATTTATCTATATGGCTGCATGTTTTGTTTTATTTTATAATTAAAAGCATCACACAATATAAGACACGTTGATGACATACGTGTGTGGAAGAAGCAGCATTCATTTCTTGTGTGCTAAATTCACTTTCATTTTGGAAACTGATATTGTTAAATGACTCATAACTTGAATTTTTATGTATCTTTTTAAAGCACGAAAACCATTAAAATACTAAGTGAAAACATTGCTTCAGATTTCATTCAGCCAAATGTCTGGATTTATGAACAACAAAAACTGACATATGTCGTACATTGAAGCTATTTCTTTCCAAAGATTCTAGGATTCAGGCTTTTGTGGCATATAGAACTTCAGTTTATGATCAGCGCCTTATACAACATCAACCTCCTCAGGCCTCACCATTCTGTAGTTACTAATTAGATCACATTACCATTTACACCCACATTTCACTTGCTTTAGACCCCATGTGATAACCGTAGCATGTTAGTTATTTAATCACCATCCCCTATCCCTGTACTAGGAGTTCCTGGGACCTCTCAGAGGTGTCCCTTGTCTTCTTTCTCTAAGGCCTTAAAGACCACTGTAGGATGGAGCTTGCTATTCCCACTGCTGCCTCCCTTGAAAACAATGCTTCTTTCTTCTGCTTCCTTTTCTGTCTACTGGGCTGTATTTTGCTATAAATGCCATATCTTGTTTGTCACCTTATCCCTAGTGCTTGGGATAGTACCTGGGATATTATAGCTGTTCAGTAGCTATTTGTAGATTGTATGACTAAATGAATAAATTCATTTATTCATTTATTGAGTATCTAGCATGTACCAACACAATGCTGGTAGCTGAGGATGCAATGATGGACATTACAGACGTTGGTGCTGCCCACATGGAGGGCAGTTACTGTTCACTGGAGAATACAGATCAGTGAACAGGCAATCATAATGCAGAGCAAGGTGCCTGCCCAGTGCCGGGAGAAGGGAGTGCAGGGTGCTGGGCACACCAAGGAAAGACACCCAGCTACTTCATTTAGGATCCACTCAGGCTATCTCTGTCTATAGATAGCTGGTTGTGCTGGTTATGTATTTTGGGGGGATGAGGGGAGAAGTTCTTTACTTCTCTGGGCCCAAAAATGCTCTTCCTAACACAATTCCTTCCAGAATTGAACATCTCCACAAATTCTAGATAATTTCTTGGCTTGAGGTCTTTAAAAAAATGCAGGAAATTGATTCTTTAATGCATTTCTGTTTCTAATTTACCATAATAACATTTCTGAGGAGAATCTAAATTTATCTTTTTTTTTTTAACTTTAAAAACAGAGCAGCCTAACTATAATGTCTGAAACACATGATGAAAATCTAGGACTATTCATTGCGAGGTTTTTTTTTTTTTTTTTTTTTTTTTTGGGTGGAACATATGAGGGGAAGAACAATTTACAATTCTTTTTCATTTCATGGCTGGGTTTTTTTGTTTTTGGTGTTTTTGTTTTTGTTTTTTTTTTCTTGT